ACACACACACACACACACACACACACACGAACTGACAAACAAACAAATAAACACATAGTCACCCTTTTTCACCAGCTCTTTCATCCAGTTTCCCTCTCCACTCTCACAAACACACAGATAAACAAACAAACAAACAAACAAACAGACAAACACACGTTCCCACCAACCCTTGTTCATCAGCTCCTCCGTCCAGTCACCCTCCCCATTCATACACAAATAAATACAAACCTACAAACAGACAACCAAATAAACAAACACATACTGGACCCTTTTACCATTTCCTCAACCTTATCCCCTTCTCAACTAACAAACACACACACACACACACACAAAGAAAGAAAGAAACAAACAAACAAACAAACAAACAAACAAGTTAACAAACAAACACGCCATACCTTGTTTACCAGCTCCTCCGTCCAGTCCCCCTCTGGGGGCCACTCCGGTATGAAGATCATGCTTGCGTCACACGCCAGACCGGCGGTCAGGGCTAGGTACCCGCTCTTTTTGCCCATCACCTGGACCGGGGACGACCAAGACAAAAATGGGTAAAAGTACTAAAAGTAAAGTATAGAATCCCCCAAGTCTGTGAGCATCATGACGATCAGAGCGTGCTGCTTCTTATTCCTGTAAGACCGGTCCCAGAGTGGCTCTGTAGGTCTGACCTGTAGCTCGCCTGGCACACGCCGTGTGCGTGTCAGCACAGCCGCACTGTGGGTTGGCGCCTGTGTCTTAGCGAGCGCAAGGCACACTCGCTGTGTCTCAGCACAGCCACACTGTGTGTTGACGTGTGTAAGTGTGCAACTGATGGGTCTGCCTTGCTATATTTAGGTACTGTGTAATCCAAGACCATCTATACCAAGACAGGACAACTCTTCTTTACGTCATGTGCCAAGTGCAGCCCCCCCCCCTTTCCCACACACACCCACACACCCAAGCACACTTGCAGCTGTGCGCGGCGATAGTTTACATTGATAATGCAAGGCTACATCTAGGCCTAGGCCTACGACTACAGTCGAAACTAGGTCAACCTCTCGATTCGAAGTTTCAAAGTATGATAAAGTGCATTTCTGGGTGATTTTGTGGCCAAGTGTTGATGTTAGCATCAATATTTAATAGTAAAGCACCTAATAATACTTACTTCTCGTTGATTTTGATGATCTGTGAAGAGTTTCAGTCGAAAACTAAACTCGAAGCGACGCGACACATGTCCGCCATTTTTAAAACACTGTTGAATAGCACGTCTGACGCATCACGCAGCTCATCTGACAAAAACAGACGACACAGTGACGCTGCTTAAGCACACGATAATGTATACATTCATTTGCACAGTGCGAGCCAGGCGAGCTACAGGTCAGACCTACAGAGCCACTCTGGGACTGGCCTAAGACCTAACTGTAACCCCAGTGTGACCCCACGGTAACCCACATGTTGCGCAGTAATTTAAGTAGTTTTAAATTTGGGGTGGGGAGTGGGGTTACACTTTACTTTTACCCTATGAAATCTTCAAATCTTTTGAAGAAAAAAGTCGGCATGGTAAAAAACAATGACAAAACAGCACCAAACAAAAAAACAAAACAAAAACAACTCACAATCTAACTGCATTTGAAAAAAACCCAACGTGGAATCCCTGGTATAGTCACACATCCAGGACAAAAGACCTTCTGCTGGTCCTACGCCCTTATAACTGTGTTTGAAAGAGCCGTGAAAGTCCTTGCATGGTCGTATCTAAGATAAAGACCTGCTGCTGGCCGTACACTCCTATAACCTAGATTTGTTTGAAAAAGCCGTGAAATCCCATTCATGACCTCCAGGACTTACAGGACAAAGACCTAGCCAAGTTTGAAAGAGCCCCAAAATCTCTGACATAACCGTACCTCAACGACAAAAACCTGCTGAGAGCTACTGGACGTTGTAGCGATAGCGTCGGTGGCCTCGATGATACGGTGTAGCGCCGAGTCCACTCCTATAGCCACGTCACTCCCGCAGACGTCATGGACTATGCTGGAGATGATGCCTACCGCTCGCAACGTTTTGTGTCTGTCAAAGGGGGGGGGGAGAGGAAAAAAGGGAGCGAGGTGAGGGGTAAGTGGAGGGGCATACAAACTAACTCACACAGACATGTAAATAGACAGATGGACAGTCAGACAAGTAAACAAACAAACAAACAGGCCAACAGTTTACTTAGCGGCAAGTTCCCGGGTAATCTGGTTTCTGTCGTGAAGTTCTCTGAGCAAGAGTGGCCATTCTTCGTGGAGTACGTTCAGTGCTATAAAGAGGAGGGTTGGATTGGGGTGGGGGTGGGGGAAGGTGGGGTGGAAGGGGTTTCAGATCCTGGTTGCTGATGGGGAGATGATGTTGGGATGGTGACGATGAAAATTGTAACGCTTGTGATGATTTGGGG